TTCCGTCGCATTTCTAAGGCGCAATGATACAACTATTTGAACTCTCTGGAATGCGTGAGGCATCACGCCGTATTTGAAGGCGTTTTCAAAACAGTCAAGTTCCGTTATCGGAATAATCGTTTCGACATCGTTTCGTATAAACGAAATCGACAAGCCCAGCGTGCATGAGGGCAGGCCCGCCAGTAGGGTGGGATACTGGGTCCCTGGTACTGGGGCCCGGGCTCCCTCCGGGGCCCGTGTTACCCGTGAAAAAACACTACGAATTCATATGCAACCCTTGTTTCGTAAGAAAAAGTGAAAAAGCTACCCTAAAAATTTTGCAAAAGGTTAATAGATTTTCAGAAACACGCTGGGGCACTTTAGAATTCTTCTTAAATTTTCAAAAAAGTATACTTCCTGGAAAATTTCTATCTATTTTCAAGATTTTCAGTACAGAGGGATATTTTTAGTAACTGCGTTTCATTTTCTTCCGTCGTCAGATGCTAAGCGTCTCCAGTCTGGGCATCCTCGACTTCAATGCATGGCTCATGGCTCAACTCCCTTGCCATAGACAAACGAAGGGGGGGTCCAGGGGGGCCTGGCCCTATTAGAACTGAAAATGGTATCATATACCCCCCCCCAAAAAAAAAAAATAAAATAAAAATGTTCCAGATGTTTTCAATTCAACAATTCGCAAGTATTTTGTGCTGAAAGTAGGGGGAAAAAAACCATAATTATTCCGCTGAAATTGATGGAAAAATTCTTTATGGAAGCTTCAAAATGCGTCCGATTAGTCGTATAAATTCTAAAATTTCTCGGGGGATGCCGGATGCCCCTCGGACCCCCCCCCCCTCCGTGCTTGGGGCCCGGACCTTAAAACTGGTACCAGGGCCCGAGTTGGGATGTGGCGGGCCTGCGTCGAAGTACTAATGAGACGTATTTCTATCAAACGGAACTATGTGCATTAAGACATGAGCCCTGAGACCCACAAGCAATGAGCATACATGCATAACAGGACCCCACGTCATAATGCACATAGTTCCGTTTGACAGAAGTACGTCCAATTATGATTCTCGACTTCATTGAATGTATTGCTCCATTTGAACATCAAAACACTATTACGCATTAACAATGCTAGGAAATAAGATCCTCAGGAACAATTAAATTATCTCCAAAAATCGAATAACGAATTATTACAAAATTGAACAAACATAACCAATAAATCACCATGACCAATCACAATAACGAAAGCATACAAATGGCGGTCGTTCAGAGGGGCCACTGGAGAGCCAATCAAAGGCCGGATTTTCAGCTTGTCCATACCTTACTTGGTGGACTAAGTGAAACATAGAAGTGTTTGTGAAAACAATATTGGTGTTTTTTTCATAAAAGATTTTCCACAATTCACACTTAGAAAGTACTAGCCGTTCTGGACGGTGTTCTGGACTTTGCGCGTCCGTCACGCACGGCTAGCCAAAGGACTTTGCCCCCTGCACCCCCGATCACTCGCTACGCGAGTGGCATTCGGCTCGCTCTGCGAGCCATTTTTCTGAGTAGTTGGACATTATTTGATCACTGGGATATATCGACGGTGAAAGTCGGCAATCACATAACTCGGTTTGCGACGTCGCAGACTTCCTGTCATACTTTATTTGTTAAACGGAAAACTACTCAACGGTAATTCTTTAAAACTGCCGTGATTTTTCTTCTATGTGCGAGGAAAATTCTGCAAAAACTTCAAGGAATCACGTCCATTTGTTCTCCTTTAAAAAAATAACATAGTTGCGGAGATTTTCAGACACCGCAACCGCAAACGAGTTATGTGATTGCCGACTTGCACCGTCGATATACATTTTGGAGACTCTCAAGACAAAAATAATTTTGCCACAGAACCATTTACCGAAACGTTCCATCATTTGATCATTAATAAATATATCGACGGTGCAAGTCGGCAATCATATAACTCGTTTGCGGTGTCTGAAAATCTTCGCAACTATGTTATTTTTTTAAAGGAGAACAAATGGACATGATTCCTTGAAGTTTTTGCAGAATTTTCCTCGCACATAGATGAAAAATCACGGAAGTTTTAAAGAATTACCGTTGAGTAGTTTTCCGTTTAAAAAATAAAGTATGACAGGAAGTCTGCGACGTCGCAAACCGAGTTATGTGATTGCCGACTTTCACCGTCGATATGGAGATGAAGCAATGAGCGGGATCGATCATTTCTTCAAAAACGCATTTGACTGGGATGTCAGTCCCATCGTGTGGAAGAAAGTGATAACCGTGCATCTCCTTCCGCGATTTGACTCGCTAAAGTAGCAAAAGTTCATCTTTACCTCTTGAGAAGAGAAGATTATCGATGGCGCAGGGGTCTAAAAAACTGTTCAACGATACTATAGTTCGAGTTCCGAATCGGTATAGGTCCAGTTACACGATCAAATTGAAATTGGGCCTCTCATTGGTCGCATTCTGAATGCGACCAATGAGAGGCCCAATTTGATGGCTCAATTTGATCGTGTAACTGGACCTTAAGAGTCCACTCGTGTTTTTTTCTGAAACTGTCATCACATATAAATTTCTCTGATTGCATAAGTATAGTTATGTCCTCATTTCATTTCATTTCCCTTTCATTTTTTCTTTTTTGGTAGCATCTGTATCCATTTACGATTATTGTTTTAAAATGGTTTTCCCTTGTATACATTTGAAGCTTCGAACGGATCCTATTTGTTTTAATGACATTTCCCGCTAAATCATGGGTTTTCCCAGGAAGGCAGCCTCTCGTCCCTCCCAGACTTTACCGTTGCCAGATGAGTTCCTTTTCACGACATTTTCCAGTTTAAACCCATGTAAAAAATTCACATTAATAGCACAATCTGGGAACCCCTCTAGTGAAATAGAAAAAGGTGGAATCGCTTAAAAGTGAAATCCTTCGAAGTTTATATTAATGATGATGATGATAAGCTGTGTGATGATAGTGTGTGTGTATGGGAGGGAGGGTGGGGAGGGTGTGTGGGTGTGAGGGTGTGTGTGTGTGGGGGGGAGAGGGAGAGGGTGTGTGTGTGTGTGTGTGTGTATGCTTGACGCCCTATTAGTTACAGTGTATCACATTTTGTTGGGCATCCGTCAGCAACTATCACACTTACAATCCGATTGTACAATCAATGACATTCGCGGGCTGAATGGACGATCGTCGGGGACTGTGTACGTGTGGTAGCTGCTTTAAAGGCGTTTATTTATTTGCACACAAATTTGCGAACTCACTATTTTTGCCATCTATGATATGTGAACTAGCCGATCGAAACAGTAAAAGTCGTTTTTGAAAAAGTTTCAACGTTACAGCAATTAACTATACAACTCGTCACACTGTTACCATGTCTCTCATGCGTCTTGACCGCTGCTCACGGTCGCGTCGCGTCGCCGCACAGTGGACTGAGTCAATGGGAGAGGTCGGACAGAATTTGGCAACTTTAAACGTTTATAACTCCTTTTATACAAAATTTTGAGGTTCCGAGAGTGGTTCCATTGGTTTCTTCGTGAAATTTTCTTTTTAAAACACCGCTTGAAATTTAAAATGAGACGAAATCATTAATATAAACTTCGAAGGATTCAGACTTTCAGCGATTCTACCTTTTTCTATTTCACTCGAGAAGTTGCCAGATTGTGCGATAAATGTGAATATTTTACATGGATTTGAATTGAGAAAAGTATTAAAAAAGCAACTTATCTGGCAGCAATAGAGTCCGGAAGGGACGAGAGGCTGCCTTCCTGGGAAAACCCATGATTTAGCCGGAAATGTCATTAAAACAATTGATTCCGTTTGAAGCATCAATAAGGGGAAAGCTATTTTAAAATAATAATTTTAAATGGACGCAGATGCTACAGAAAGGGAAAAAGGAAAGGGAAAGGAAATGAAATGAGGATATGATTACTAATATGCAATCAGAGAGAATAAAACAAAAAATTAGAGAAATTTATATGCGATGAAAGTATAAGAAAAAAACACGAGTGCGGGCTCATTGCGATTCGGAACTCGAACTATACTATCGTTGAGCAGTTTTTAGACCCCTACGCCACCGATAATCTTCTTAAGAGGTAAAGATGAACTTTTGCTACTTCAGCAAGTCAAATCGCGGTAGGAGATCCGTGGATTTTCTTTTTCCGCCACCTGATGGGATGACGTCCCAGTCAAATGCGTTCTTGAAGAAATGATCGATCCCCATCATCGCTTCATCTCCACACATCTAGCTATTCATGTGCAAATGATGGCATGCTCCGGCAACAAGGTTCTGTGACGAAATCATTTTTGCCTCCAGAGTCTCCAAAATGTATACATCTTAATGATCAAATGTCCAATCACTGAGAAAAATGGCTCGCCAAGCGAGCCGAATGTCACTCGCGTGGCGAGTGATGGGGAGTCCAGGAGGCGCAGCCCCTTGGCTGGCCGTGACGGACGCGCAAAGCGCGTCCAGAACGGCTAGTAAACATATAAATTTGCAATTTAAGTTAAAAAATTCGTGTCCGACCCCTATCATTGACTCGACCTACTGTGCGCCGCGCCGGGGACAGTGATTCTAACGCGTGAAAAAGTTACTTCGTTACCTTTCGGCCAAAGTATCACAATCGCCATGCGACGTTTCAAATTTTCCGACGCCATTTGATTTTTTCACAGAGGAATTGTTGGTGGAATCTGTTTGAAAATTTCACTGAATTTTATCGACAGCACAAAGAAAATTCAGTGAAATTTTCGGACAGCTCAGTAGAACAATTCTTCTGTGAAACAAATAAAATGGCGGCGGAAATTTTTAAACGTCGCATTGCGCTCGTGATACTTTGGCCGGAAGTTGACGATTTACAGAGTAAAAAAAAAATTAGACCTATTTTTTTTTTCTCAAATTCAAAGGTGCTACCTTTCATTTGCAATAAAGTTTTCCTAAGTAATCACTCTGGTAGTGCTGCAATGTCTGTTTCAAGTCCAGAACCAGTTGCGGGGGGACGCGCATATCTGGGATAGATTAAGACAATTTGCACATTGAAAATTCTGCTAAATTTTTATTTTGGTCTAAAATTCTAAATAACGTGGAAAACAGTTTGTATCTGTAGACAACAATTAAAAATGAGAAAAAAAGGCGATTTGACCATTGCTGTCATATTATAGCAATAAAAACAACTGAGGACATTAAATTAGATCCTTATCGGCAGGCACGCAGCTAGCAGCCTCTTTCCTCTGATGTGCATTTTGTGGTGTTCATCCTTCACTGTATCCAGCGTTTTGTGAAATCTTGCAGGTTTTATTTGTTTTAATTCCTTTAAATAGGTCTCTTCTTCGAACGGATTCACTCCGGGCTGAACATCGAGCTGATAGTGATTCTTTAACCATTGTGCGCCATTGTGCGTACCCCGTTTGAAGCTTATGTTGAACTCCTTCCTTTCCTCGGTTGTGAGACCCTTCTCTTGGAGATATGCGAGCAGTTTTGCACCTGGCTTATTGCAATTGCATAACTCTTTAGAACTCCATACTGATATTGTCTTATTATTACGAACTACTGGGTTGAACACTTCCTTCTCTTCCATCTTCCCATCTGCGAAAGGTACGCGGGTCGAAGGTCCTTTGTGTTCCTGCGGGAGGAGGACCCAACCCTTTAATTTAATGCATTCCTCGACGCAAGACTCCTGTGCCAGCTCCTTGTCAGTCTTTTGCTTCTTCTTCTGCTCAACAGAAATATCATACTTGAGTCATTCTTCGTGGAAACTTTGCATATTGCTGTTTAAATCGTGGAATTTGTTACGTCAATAGAGCAGTTGCGCTGTTCACAGAATCGTATTTTAATGCTTGATTCTTGTAGATTAGCTGAACATGATAAGATAAGTCCAAACAGCACCTTCGTGTGTTCAATATTAACCAAGATATCCCGCTTTGAAAATCTGTTAATGACGTCATCCACTGCGGTAGTGGGGAGCAAGAATATTGGGCGAGGTTACTCCAAAACCGATGCTTTTGGGCGAGAAAGGTGAGGCGTTTTGTGCGGGCAAAATATGCCACTGTAGGAGGGGAAATTGCGAAAAGGAGGGGGCTTTTGGGCGAGGAGAAAATACTGTAACGCATGTACTGTAAAATATATTGACTCACCATTGATGGCAAGTGTTCGATTAAGAGGCAGGCCTTTGTGAAAATAGTGAGGCAGTTACACTTAATATCACATAAAAAACACAGCTGATCGTAATCTAAAAATTGTCAGGCACTCAAAATTAATATCACAGCAAAAATCATGAATCAATTAAAAATTGCCAGACACTAAAATTTTTTTGTCTTGGTACAAGTAACCTAACTTTTTAATATAATGAAGGCGCGTTTCGTATGATTTTGGACCTGCCTCGAACTCTAACCACAACTTCTTCTTCTTCTTCTTCTTCTTCTTTTTCTTTTTCTTCTTCTTTGATGCTTTATTGGCTTCATGCTCCGGTGTGGAGCCCACAGCCATCTATAGACACATTGTGGTAGGTAAGTGGTTAAAATGTTGAGGAGAGAGTTAGGTGGGGGGAGAGGGAGTAGAACCACAACTTCTCTGTGTCAGCAAAGCGTTCAGCAACTTCTTTCCTCGGTTCATTGATGTTGCTGCGTCGGATGGACAGAAGCTTGGTAAAACTTTCCGTCTGGATTTCGCGAAGAACCGTCTTGCGAGGAAATGAAAAGTTGTCAAGCCTCCTGATGATTGACCTCGCCCAAAATATCCCTCGTGATTCTATTCCCCTTTCTACCTCCCAAACTTTTTCCTCGCCCAAAAGAGTTCTCGTTTTTTACCTGATTTTGGCTCTAATGCTTGATTTTTGTAGATTAGCGAAAAATAATAAAATCTGTCCAGACAGAAACTTCCTACGTTCAATGTAAGGCGAGATATCGCCCTTTGAAAAGTCGAGTTTTTGACGTCACCCACCGCGGAAGTGCGACACCACCATGCTTTCATCCAAGTTTCATCTTGAGAAACCAGTGAAAATGTGCGTCTTCCTGACTGGTAAAACCGCAAGGTAGAAGAATCCAAGGGTGTCACTACCGCGGTGGATGACATAAACCGAATTTTTCAAAGCGCGACATCTCGGTTAATATTGAACTTAGAAAGTTGCTGTGTGGAGAGATCTTATTATTTTTGGCCGATCCACAATAATCAAACATCAAAACATGATTCTGTAATCAGCGCAACTGAATTATTGCAACTGCACGATTTGAGAGGCACGCTGGGGTTTCCCCCATAAATCGTCCGTATTTTTATTCACATTTTCACTAAAATGAGTAGCATGTTTTAGTTTGACAAATTGATTTGCTACTAACCATGTGAACAGGCGACTAATATGAGTACAGTACTATGATATCCATTATTGTCACGTAGTCTCTTTGAAGAATGTCTCAACTCCAGTAGGCGCCGTTAATAAAATATGTATCGCTAAATTTTGGATTTCTCGACACCCCCCCCCCCCCATTTCGTAACGCTACCGTGCCGTCGTCGCGTCTGTCCCTATCCTTTAACATCCTTTAACATTAAAAACGTAATGCCGTAACAATAAATTTAATAAAAGTAAATCAACTTTATGCAATTAAGTAAAATGAATGTATATAAAGAAATAAAATTGAGAGACTTGGAGGACAGGGCGCATAATGAAATTTTTGCTACGTCGAGAAATGTGCAAAAACACAATGGCGTAACATTAAATGCAATGAAAGTAAATCAAGATAGTAAAAGTATGTAAAAGGAATGTAAAGAAGTAAAATTGAGAGACTTGGAGGACAAGGCGCATAATGCAGTTTTTGCTAATCGGAGAAATACGAGATTGGAGTCTCGAAATTAAATGGATCCTCGTGGTGGAAAGGAAGTTCAAACTGACTTTTAGATGCTTAGTTATTGGAATTTGGGAGCGAATTTGTCACAGAATAGGTATGCATTAGGACTAGTTTTACTTAAAGTCATTAATATCTCAATTGTTTCAAGAACTGCACTTATGCGCCTTACCCTCCAAGCCCTCAATATGGAATTTGCACGCAAATTGTTTATCGCTTCATCTGAAAGTGCCTAAAGAGCTAATTTTGCAGTATTTTTTACAATTTCTCTCGGCTATGGGAAATAGTAGAAAAATAGATTTAAAATTGAGAAAATGCGCCACCTCGTGATGTCATCTGGCGGCATTTCCCATTTAAACGCATGTACTTTAGCAGATTAGATAATTTTGTCATATCTCGTCCAATAAGTGTTCAATTCATGAACCAAGGGTATCTTCGTGTTCAGTTCACTCAGTAGTTTTCACTTAAACACGAAATGGAGAATTTGCAGGTGTCTTAAATTTTGTAAATTTCATCTTTAAAATGGTACCTACTACTAGGAAAACTGAGTATACGAGGATATCCTTGGTTTCTAAGTTGGACAATATTGGAGAAAATATGACAAAATAACCTAATCTGCTAAAATACATGCGTTTAAATACATGTGTTTGGAAGATGACGCCGGATGACGTCACAAGGTGGCACATATTCTCACGTTTAAGTCTGTTTTTCTCCAAGTCCCCATGTCGGGAAAAATTGTTGAAAAATACTGCAAACCCAGCTCATCAGACGAAGCAATAAAAGTGTGCGCTAATTCTTTTCAGACACCTGCAAATTTTCTATTCATAAAGAAATAAATAACCGGAGTTTTGGGTGTACCTTCTGCTCGAGGACGGTTTTGAACCCCTTGGAGGCTAACCAGAGCCGGGCAATGTGCGGGTTGCTTTGGTGCTGCCTAACAAATGCCTCGAGGTGCACTTTCTTCATATTGAGGGCCATCTTGAGAAAACTGTTGTTGTTGTCAACCACACACTTGCATTCAGTCTTCCCGTCTTCCTCATCCTCGAGTTGCGCATCGGCGATCGCTACCTCCGTCAGCCCATTTGGGTTTTTTTTTTGGTCCGTCTCATTGACGACCAGATACCCCTCCTTCTTCCAACACTCGTTCTCACACTCCTCCTCAGTCCACTTGTGCTTAAAATTGGTTTTAAATGAAATGAATAAAAATAGTTAACGTCCGTAAAAATGCAACAAAATTGACAAACACGAATGAAATGTAATTACTTAAATAGAATTTTAAAGAAAATAAAAAAATAACGATAATTATATTCACATTTTTATTATTCCCATTTATTTCCCCCATTTAATTATTATATTCCCAATTCCCCTTTATTATTCCCATTTCCTTAAAATTCCTCCCTTTTATCCTCGGTTAATATCAATACATCCCCTTTTCATCCGTTTCTATACTGTTCAATATCGAATGATTTATGGAAGATTATATTTAAAATTCCCGGGATTTTCAATGACGTTTTCTGATTGGTTAATGAAAGGACCAATTAGAATGCAAATCGACACGGACGTACATACACACAATAAAGGCCTTACCTTTTTTTAATATGGTATAAGATAAGATATTAATGAAAGTACCCTTGAAATTCGGAGTAACCTGCTCCAATCAATGCAGATGTCCGTCGTCATAAATACGTCAAGCATTGTCGGGTCGTTTATGAATATCGATTACCCAATTTCTAGTTTTTTATCATTTATTTCCGACATTAATTCTTTCCGTGTTCAAATTTTACGATAAATGTTTCTACAAGTTAAGTAATCTATACTATAAGCTCCGAGACCTCCTAATTTTGCGTAACTGGTAACGCTTAGTTCCAGCCTTCTACCGGGCCGATTTTCATGATTTTTGCGGCAATCGACGGGCAATTGTCTCTAGATTAGCCAACTCTTTTCAGATTTTCAAAATATGGACCAGGTTTTTTTATATTACGTGGTAAAGTTGCGAATTCTCCCATTTAAACAATGTAAATGTATACTTTTTGTCATAGTTCGTTTGAGCGTTCTACCGGGCCGATTTCCATGATTTTTGCGTAGATCGTCAGGTAATTGGCCCTAGATGAGCCCGCTCTAATTAGATTTTGGAAATAGGACCCAGGTTTTTTTAAAATCACGTTATAAAAGTGAGTGAGTTTACAGAATGCTCCGGTACTGCTACCGCTATGCGCGGGAGGATGCGCAGTGGTCGAGGAGGTTGCGCAGTAGCTGTGTAGCCTGCGCATCAGCTCTACACTTATCTACACAAGATTCGCGACTGCTTCTCTATGTCGAGCGGTGGCCGAGTCGTCTAAGACGTCGAATGCGTGGATCCGCTTGGATCTCAGTGTGGGTTCGATTCCTGACCCATGAAGGTTTAGTTATTACCTGTCTCTCATTGTTCATTGTTTTACTGCAATATTTCATCAAGCAGTCATTCCAAAACGCGTCCTTTTAATTTTAAAGTAATTTTAAGTAAAGTTTAAAATTAAAGTATACCTCATATCGTATTTTTTTAGGGGAAAAATAATACTAACACTGATAGGAGGGTAAAAATAGGGCTGCGAAGCGGCCCATTGATGGCGCGGAGCGCCTTCAGGGGGTTGGGCCGCGTAGCGGCCAGGGGGCGTAGCCCCCTAGTATTGTATTAGTGGCCTTTGAGCAGTGGCGCATCAGTAATACTGCGTATACCTACCGGACGTATACTGTCCTAGTTACGAAATTTAGAGGAACATGACAATGAATAAATAAGTAAAATCAACAAGTGAATGATATCAAGTAAAAATTAGTAAAATAGAGATTAAAAATAATATATTGCGTATAAAATTATATGGCGCTGTTAAATATTAATGAAATTGATAAAGACAAATGGAATTAATGAAGAAATATCAAATTGATAGAAATGAATAAAATCTATAAAAGTGAATAAAATTAATGAAAGGAAACCAAGTTTTTAAAAATACATAGGATGTCCCAAAAGTTTCGTCCCAAACCTTTATAGGTACTATGAGCAAATAATTAATGGTAGCAAAATGCGGATTGCATGGGATTAAAGAACATTTTATTACCTTTGTAACATGATTTAGTTGAGCATATTCGATTAAAAATTCGCTGAGTTACAGCGATTTTTAGGCGACGTCTTCGCGTAACCCCTGAAAAATGTTTAGACCTTTTTTGGGGTGGGGGAGGGGCGGACAGAAAAGACTAAACAATTAAACATACATAAGTCTTCTTTTAAATTTTTTTAAAATAGTTCCCACCAATTATAATCAAAGTTACCCTTTTTCAGCGTTGATGACTTCTCTTTCTCTTTTCAATTTTCAATATATTTTCCGTCATTTTTCATGCATAGGTAGCTTAAAGTCTTGCATGTTTCCACTCATGCCGCAATCACACGCTGAATTTGGCAGCTGAATGTGGTAGTCAACAGTCAGCGCTCAATAGCTGAAATTTCACTAATTCGAGTTATTTTGATCCAAATGCGTATCAAATCTATTCGAATAGTTCAGACAAATCCGACATTCGCAATTTAAAGTTCGTTAAAATCGTGATCAATTTTCGTCGATAAAATCTAGATTTAATCGCCATTTATCACGATTTTTTTTAAGCGCGATAAGATCGAGGATGATCGCTCAGATGTTGATGATAATGGCGATTTTATCGCCGATGAAATCACAATATACAGCGATTTGTTCGTTGAGAAAGAGAAATGCTACTTGAGAGAGTCAGACCACTAGACGAACCTTGCCGGCCCCGGCCGTAATGATTTTGAAGCTTATGAAGCTTACCCCATACCCCAAGTAATTTTTCAACTGAAAAATCGCGATATTCTGAAATTGAGTTGCGATTTCTTACTGTATATTGGCGATACAATTGCTTGGATCATCAACAGCTGAACTATTATGCTCGATCTTGTAGGTAGCAATTTTGTCTCTGTTAAATCGCGTCCAAAAAATCGAAATTTTATATAAATTTATAACGATTTTTCGTTCGATAACATTGCGATTAATCGCCGTCGATATAATCTCGATTTTATCACCACTTTATCTGACGAAATAGCAATTTATACATCCGATATTATTGCAATGAATCTACGTCGACAAAATCGCGATACATTCTCCAATCAAATCGCAATCACTGCTACTTGGGAGTTCGGGGCGTTTCGCTAGCTTTATGTGTTCGCTTGTACTTATCAGGACATTATGTCAGCGAAATTATTAATAAAATAATAAACCTGCTTCGGAGATTTTGAGTGTATCTCGGGCTGCGAGGCTGCGGGCTGCTCAGAGTGGGGGAGCTGGACTATGATCCCCTTATTCTTCAGCCGCTTCTGGGCAAAATTCCAGCCTCCCATACGCATTGCCTTAAACATTAGGTGGGTGACATTATTTGCTTTGAGGTATTGCTCGAAAGCAGGATTTTTGGTGGGCACCGTACACTTGCAATCCAACCACCTTTTAGCCTCCGACGCTCCACCTTTTAGCCGTTTCACGTGCGCATCGGCTACCGGTAGTATCTCTGTGTTGATTTCTTCAATGCCAGAGGTGTCGAAATACCCCTTTTCCTTCAGACACTCAACTTCACACTCATCCTCGGTCCACTCATGCTTCGGCTTGTGCTCTAAAACCCGGAGGAAGGATAAAATGTATTTAGGCAACATTTACGAAAGGGAAATGATTTGGTCTCGATAAATATTTCAACTGCAGGTCGATTGTTCAATCGTTATCGAATGATTCTGATCGATAACTCCCTATCTTCACAATGCTATATATCGATCAAGGTCATTCGATAACGATTCAACAATCGACCCACTGGACGTATTTCTACCGAACAGACCTATGCGGGGGTGAGAAATATGGGGTGTGCTTGTTAGTTCTCTTTGCGTAAGAGTGAATGGGAATAATAAAGATCCCGTGACGTCAGCGGCAATGAAAGTGCGCACGCGCGCGGGGGCGATCGTCATCGGGGCGCTTTAACTCGTGAGCCCTGCCCACAATGCTATCTTGCCATGCCCACGGCTCATGAGTTCCGCGTTCAGTTGGCACATAGGTCTGTTTGATAGAATGTAAAATCCCGCTTTTCCAATTCTTCAAAAGGAATCACGCCCACTTTTACATTGCTTTTTATGCAGCTTTCTAGAGCACACCCCATATTTCTCACCCGCACATAGGTCTGTTCGATAGAAATACGTCCAACTAAAAAAAGCATGCGAAGTTTGTAACTCACAATCAGTCATTTTTGGTAGCTTGGTCGGAGCGATCGACGTCATCAGTGGCGTGGCGTCCGTGGCGTGCACTGCGTTACTACATTGATCTCCCATTTGAACCTATGGGAAACGATTGATTAATAGGGTGTTCGCAACGAACACTTTAATAATAGATTCTCTACCACGGCTTCAAATGGAGGAATATCGATAACCGAGCATTCATGGCTCGCCACTGGACATCATTGACGGCTCGTTTGACTTCCTTAATTATTCGTGTTATAGTTATGTATTTACGCCTCTGTGTGTAGCCATCCATGTTGACGCGGTGTCTGTGTTGTATAAACTACAAATTGCATGCGCTCTAGTTTTCTCAGGCACAGCGTATAATGTGTCGCAGGCAATTAGTCAAATCAGGCATTATATCAAATGCCTAGGCAGATTAGGGTGTCCCATTTAGGACCTTAAAAAAAATGTGCAAAATCCAACAGAGATACTTGCCAAAAACTTGTCTCATGGTTAGAAAAAAAATCTCGGGGTCGTAGCTAAAGGTTATGTGGTCCCGCAAGGCACTTAAGTGGTTTTACCGATTTCTCATCTTGCCGATTTTGGCGATTTTGCAGATTTTTTTCAGTAAATACAATCGAGCTAGAAAGTCGCAAATGCGGATAATGAGACTTCTGATACTACATTTTAAGAGAAAAATAACAGTTTGGATCCAAGAGGATCAGAAATCCCTCGTTCTTAGCTCTCAAAATGCGGAAATCAGCGATTTTAGCATTTTGTAGTCAAACCGCTGCTCGACCGTCGCTCAACTTTAATGTTGCGGCATTTGACTCGCTGTTTCACAACGATCCGATCGGAGGAGCAAAAAGTCCTTCAAGTATGTTCATTAGAGGTGTAAGAGGGTCTCATTGGCCAATTTTCGTTGATATTAAACTTTGCGCTCATTGTTAATTTTTTTTTTTTTTCAATTTTCCTGTTTTTCATCATTTTTCAAAATGGTTTAGCGGCCAGGGGCGTAGCCCCCTAGTAATGAATATAATGGATACAAATTGAAGGGGCCATCTTTATTTAAATTTCCCGCCAGGTTTCATGATCAATTGATGTTGACCATGAAATTCTCGCAGTTCGAATGGGTCGTGCTGCATTACGCCAGCATTGCCAAATGGCGCAAGTGTCCTACCGAAAACATTTCCAAGAGGACATCACGGATGTCAACCTCACAAATCACACGCGATAACATTCTCGCATTTTGCACTGTTTTGCTATGCCACCATTTTGCTGCACAACTAATCTGAGTCTCGACAACGTTATGGTAAACACAATAGTGAATGCAACGCAGAGAACCCTTGAGATCTAACTACCGCAGCCATACGTAGTGCCTTCGGGAAGCCAGAACGCCTGCAATTTTCCGTGTATGCAACACGGGCATCCCGAGAACACGAATAGTTGCATCGAGACGTAATTAAATGCCGGAGCGCCTTCAATTCGTCGATTGGCTGACATGAAGGCGTAACTATACATTGAGATGAGCCCGAAAAAGCATTGAACTGTATGGAGGACAGGGTTCATTGCCGAATGTAGTTAAGCCCTTATGTCAGGTAGGCGACGAATTTTTCCGTATGTGCCAACAATGTGTGCCACTCTGTGCCAAAGTGTGATAAACAATAATTCCTGAAATATCTTATAAATGAAAAAATGGAATCTTTCGGCTCGAGGAAAAATTTTCCGCAGAGAAATTCCTAAGTTTTCTCAACATATCAGGAGTGAGCAAATTTCCTCGTGTTCCTTTTTTAAGAGCACACGCCCACGCTTTACTGTTGTCCTGAGGAAAAACGCCGTATGAGCATTCGACTGTTGCCAAATCCCTACTTCGGAGTAAATTAACCCCGTTGTGCTCACTCTTTCCAGACAACTTTAAAAGTTGTATATTCAAAGTATTTTCTTTAACAGCTCCTGCCCTTAAGGAGTTCCCTATGCTGCCGTGCTAATGAAAACGCCGTATGAACCTTCAGGCGTTGCAAAATGTCCTTCGATAAAAAACGACTTTACTGGGAAAAGTTAATAATCTTTTTCCTTAAATTTTTCAGACATATTTGTTTGTAATTTAATGTAAAACTAGCTGCTTCAGCTCGCTACGCTCGCTTGCGCCGCTAGCCGGGGGCAAGCCCCCTGGACCCCCAGTTACTCGCTCCGCGAGCCAAATTTTGCTACTACCAGTGCTTAGAGGACTTCCTGGAGGCAAAATGATAAATTCAAAAACAAAGAATAGGAAACTAAAAATTACCCACTTTTAGAAAAAGAAACAACCTTGAAAAATAAATAACACTCCTGGAAAAGAAAATCAGAACACTTTTTGAAAATGTAACGGTGCGAAAGGGTGAAGATAAATCACCAATTCTCTTGGAAGAAGACATGAGCCGACCCCCGACATGAGTGAAACTGCCGTAGGACCCATGCTAGGGTAGAAGGGTGACACGTGTTGTGAGCAGGTAGGGATGGGTTTACGTGGAGAGGGAAACGGAAAATCAGAGGGTGGGAGGTCCCCCAACCATATGACTCGTCCAGCGTCAAAAACGCAAATATGTCGTTATCAAATCGAGGTAAATTTTGCAACTTCGGTCGCGCAAATCGAAAAACGAAGGGGTCTTGGCACATCTAGACCCTATGAGCTTTCATTTAAAACAAATCCGAGGAAAATCGGTCCAGTAGTTTCCGAGATCGAATTAGCACAAACTGTCCAGCGTCAAAAACGCAAATATGTCGTTATCAAATCGAGGTAAATTTTGCAACGTCGGTCGCGCAAATCGAAAAACCAAGGGATGTTGGCACGTCTACAGCCTAAGAGCTTTCATTTAAAACAAATCCGAGGAAAATCGGTCCAGTAGTTTCCGAGATCGAATTAGCACAAACTGTCCAGCGTCAAAAATGCAAATATGTCGTTATCAAATCGAGGTAAATTTTGCAACGTCGGTCGCGCAAATCGAAAAACCAAGGGATGTTGGCACGTCTACAGCCTAAGAGCTTTCATTTAAAACAAATCCGAGGAAAATCGGTCCAGTAGTTTCCGAGATCGAATTAGCACAAACTGTCCAGCGTCAAAAATGCAAATATGTCGTTATCAAATCGAGGTAAATTTTGCAACGTCGGTCGCGCAAATCGAAAAACCAAGGGATGTTGGCACGTCTACAGCGTAAGAGCTTTCATTTAAAACAAATCCGAGGAAAATCGGTCCAGTAGTTTCCGAGATCGAATTAGCACAAACTGTCCAGCGTCAAAAATGCAAATATGTCGTTATCAAATCGAGGTAAATTTTGCAACGTCGGTCGCGCAAATCGAAAAACCAAGGGATGTTGGCACGTCTACAGCGTAAGAGCTTTCATTTAAAACAAATCCGAGGAAAATCGGTCCAGTAGTTTCCGAGATCGAATTAGCACAAACTGTCCAGCGTCAAAAATGCAAATATGTCGTTATCAAATCGAGGTAAATTTTGCAACGTCGGTCGCGCAAATCGAAAAACCAAGGGATGTTGGCACGTCTACAGCGTAAGAGCTTTCATTTAAAACAAATCCGAGGAAAATCGGTCCAGTAGTTTCCGAGATCGAATTAGCACAAACTGTCCAGCGTCAAAAATGCAAATATGTCGTTATCAAATCGAGGTAAATTTTGCAACGTCGGTCGCGCAAATCGAAAAACCAAGGGATGTTGGCACGTCTACAGCGTAAGAGCTTTCATTTAAAACAAATCCGAGGAAAATCGGTCCAGTAGTTTCCGAGATCGAATTAGCACAAACTGTCCAGCGTCAAAAATGCAAATATGTCGTTATCAAATCGAGGTAAATTTTGCAACGTCGGTCGCGCAAATCGAAAAACCAAGGGATGTTGGCACGTCTACAGCGTAAGAGCTTTCATTTAAAACAAATCCGAGGAAAATCGGTCCAGTAGTTTCCGAGATCGAATTAGCACAAACTGTCCAGCGTCAAAAATGCAAATATGTCGTTATCAAATCGAGGTAAATTTTGCAACGTCGGTCGCGCAAATCGAAAAACCAAGGGATGTTGGCACGTCTACAGCGTAAGAGCTTTCATTTAAAACAAATCCGAGGAAAATCGGTCCAGTAGTTTCCGAGATCGAATTAGCACAAACTGTCCAGCGTCAAAAATGCAAATATGTCGTTATCAAATCGAGGTAAATTTTGCAACGTCGGTCGCGCAAATCGAAAAACCAAGGGATGTTGGCACGTCTACAGCGTAAGAGCTTTCATTTAAAACAAATCCGAGGAAAATCGGTCCAGTAGTTTCCGAGATCGAATTAGCACAAACTGTCCAGCGTCAAAAATGCAAATATGTCGTTATCAAATCGAGGTAAATTTTGCAACGTCGGTCGCGCAAATCGAAAAACCAAGGGATGTTGGCACGTCTACAGCGTAAGAGCTTTCATTTAAAACAAATCCGAGGAAAATCGGTCCAGTAGTTTCCGAGATCGAATTAGCACAAACTGTCCAGCGTCAAAAATGCAAATATGTCGTTATCAAATCGAGGTAAATTTTGCAACGTCGGTCGCGCAAATCGAAAAACCAAGGGATGTTGGCACGTCTACAGCGTAAGAGCTTTCATTTAAAACAAATCCGAGGAAAATCGGTCCAGTAGTTTCCGAGATCGAATTAGCACAAACTGTCCAGCGTCAAAAATGCAAATATGTCGTTATCAAATCGAGGTAAATTTTGCAACGTCGGTCGCGCAAATCGAAAAACCAAGGGATGTTGGCACGTCTACAGCGTAAGAGCTTTCATTTAAAACAAATCCGAGGAAAATCGGTCCAGTAGTTTCCGAGATCGAATTAGCACAAACTGTCCAGCGTCAAAAATGCAAATATGTCGTTATCAAATCGAGGTAAATTTTGCAACGTCGGTCGCGCAAATCGAAAAACCAAGGGATGTTGGCACGTCTACAGCGTAAGAGCTTTCATTTAAAACAAATCCGAGGAAAATCGGTCCAGTAGTTTCCGAGATCGAATTAGCACAAACTGTTGGAGGCCAAAAAAGGCCTTAGGATATTAAATATATAGATATCTGAAAATTTCAAGGAAATATATGCAATGTGCATAACTTGCCCCCTAAATACGTATTTTATCCCGGAAAATTTGGCAACTCTCGAATGTTCATACGGCGTTCTTCCTTAGCACGGCAGTATGGTTTACATTGTGATTAAGTAGACCTCTGGCATTGCATAATGAACAGGACAAATTTGAGGAACCTTCAATTAAATTCAACTGTATAACTGGACGTATTTTTTGTTTAACGGAACTATGTGCATTATGACGTCAGCCCTGTTATGCATATGTTCTTATGGGTCTCAGGGCTCATGTTTTAATGCACATAGTTCAGTTTGGCAGAAATACGTCCAACTAAGGTATATATACTTGCGGGGGACCACAATGATTACCCCTACAAAAAACCGAAGGTTCAGAGGGATTATCATTACGGATTTGACAATTTTCAGGTCCGTACCTATCTTAAAGTTTCCTAAAATCATTGGTTTTTTTATTGTATATTGTAAAGCTCTTTTTCTGTGTCAAATTACTCTAACTCCTTGCGATTATCCTCTCTTTTTAAATAAAATCATTTTTAAGACGCTCGATGGACGGGGTGAGAAAGAGGAGAAAGACGGACCAAGGGTCAAAGCCCAAAGAAGGAATCAAAATTCAAAGAAAGGAGAAAATCATTAAGAATATTGTTTGGCGGGGAATTTTTCTTTGAAACATCGTTTTGTTATTCGATTGAAATTATTGGTTCATTAATCACCAACGGGCGATTGCGACGATTTCGCTGCCCGCGAAGCGGCCTTTGGGGGAGGGAAGGTTGGGCCGCGTCGTGGCCAGGATGCGAAGCCCCCGAGTCAATTTTTTAAAGTTATATTCTGTTAAATTTATTTCGAGACCAGTACAAATTTCCTCTTTGGGATGATATTGTAAAGGCTTCCTTTATCTCGAAACCGAACAAGTCATCCTAAAAAGAAGAAACTGTTCAAAGACGACTGTGATTCCTGGTTCTTACTTCGTTTTCTGTGAAACCAAAAGAAGTTTTTTCTCTCCGTTTGGATTATTTTCTTCTTTTAAAATCACTACAGATCGACTCGAGTTTCATATGATGCTTTGCTGGGCCTTGCCCTGGAGGGGAGAGAGATGATTTGCCATAGCTCTGAGTCAAGTTGCGCTCCAATTTTCGGAATTTTCTGTGGACGAATTTCCAAAAAGCTTACAATTTAGGGGCTTGGAGGACAAGGCGCATAGATACAGTTTTTGAAAAAAAAATGAGATTTTAATGATCAAGTAAAACTAGTCTTAACGCATATTCTATGAAAAATTCGCTCCTATATTCCTATTTTTAAGAATCGAAAAGTCAGTTTGGACTTTCTTTCCGCCATAAGGATCCGCGTAATTTCGAAACTTCAAACGCGTATTCCTCGAAATAGCAAAAATTGTATCTATGCGTCCTTTCCTCCATGCCCCTCAACTAGTGTATCCCAAGTAGCAGTTTTCAACGGAAAAAATCGCAATCTTTTGAAATTAAGTTGAGTTTTCCCCCCGAAATTTTGGCGATAAATCGCCATTAGCTAGGATTATCAACGTCTGAGCGATTATCCTCGATCTTGGCGCAATTTTACCTTTGTAAAATCGTGTTCGATGAATTCGAAATTTGATCTCAATTTATCAAGAATTTTTGTTCGATGAATAGCCGTCGATAAAATCGCGATTTGGTTGCAAATTATGTGATGAAATCGCAATTTTTTATCCGATCATATCGCAATAAATCGACGTCAATAAAATCGCGATGCATTCTATCCGATCAAATCGCAACTTATCGCGATCACTGCCACTTGGGTGAACTGCTTTTCACGCTGTCTGTCTTTCTCTCAGGCTTTGTTTTTGTTGTTTCTTTTATTTTTCACAAAGAACAAAACAATGTAACGCCCTGAATCTTTCTCTGATGTTTCATAAATTATCATCCATGTATTTACAAAAATGCAAGTGAGAGTGCTCAGCTCTGTTTACAAATCGTTTTCTGGTTAAAAAAATATTAATAAATAAAAAAAATCGAACTGGAAGAAAAATTGGGCAAAAAATGTATGCTGGTTTTGCTTAAATCCACCCTTTTCACTCTTAAACTTCAAGATTCATACTCTGGATGAGTTTGAGTGGGTACCCCACTCTTATGGTACAATAAACTGAATTGATGATACATTTTGTGGCAATTTAAAAAAAGGAGGTTAAATACGAATATACATGACGAAATAACCAGTGGCGTGGCGTAAATGATCGAAAATGATGTCCCCATTTGAAGCTATGGTAAAGAATTGATTATTAAGGTGTTCGTTGCGAACACCCTGTTTATCGGTACTTTTCCATAGGTTTAAATGGCGGATCAATCGATAGATCGCAAAACATGCCATACCACTGGGAATAACTTACCAGAACACGACACTGAGCTAACGATAACTAGGCCCACTACAATCAGGCAACCGATTAAATCCATAACGTGGTCAAATCTAAGAATTCTCACTAATTCTGAACGCAGCTCCAGCGAGTTGCATGCTTTTATAAAGGCGCAAATGCATAAGGTGCATGCGTCATTCAGGTTGACGATGCAGTTCCGTTTTTCTGCCTCAAAGATGAAAACGCAGTTGGAGCTTAGACACGAGAAGGTATCATTTAAAAGGCTGTTTTGCATCAATACACTTAATGAGTTTTGGAAGACACAAAAAAATGAATTTGCAGCGCGGTGTTCGTGCACTTCACACTTCCAGTGGCGAGGCGTGAATCATCGATCGATATTTCCGCATTTGAAGCATGCTAGAGAATCGATTATGAACTTGTTCGTTGCGGACACCCTGTTTTCCCGAAAAATCCACCTAATGCTTTAAACTTTGAGATATATCGATCGCACTTAGAATGAATTACGCAAAAACTAAGGATCCACCTTAAAATAAATAAGTGGGAGTTAGCCTCCCCTGACTTCCGAGTAAAATAATTTGTTAATCCTGTACGACCCGAAACGGAGCGTACATCAGTTTTACACGTCGGTAACCAGAAAATCTCGTCATAAGAAATTAGTGATGAAAGTTTGCGAGGCGTCCAATGCATGTTTTCCCTAGCGCCCATGGATGCTGAATCCGGAAATGACCTTGTCTGTTATTTTTCAAAAATTTTCCTCGGAAACCCATTTACTCTTGGAAAATCTTTATTTTTTGGGAAATTGGTGGGTGTGGGTGCTAATGGCCATTTTTGGACTCAGCACTATCCAAGTAGCACAGTACAACGAAAATATTGAAATAAATCGCAACTTGATTTCAATGAAATTGTGATATTTTGACCATGAAAATGCAATATTTTTACATCATGTAGTCGATTTATGCAGATTTTAAACAATTAACAAAATGAGCTCCATGCGTCAGAAATATATGCAATATTCAATGCATTGAAAAATTGCAACTTATTTCAATTTTATTGCAATAAGTTTCAAGAAACGGGACCCCTTCAAATAGGAGCTAGGCAACATACACAACACTCAGTGGAATTGAAATATTGTTACATTGTAATTGCTGCTTGCTTGTAGTGCTACTTGGGTAACAGTTTGAAATCTTGCATACCAAAAGTATCTTCATGATAGAAATTTTGCAAAAAACACAACGTTTCTCACATTTTCTCAACATTATCTCTGAAACAAATTCTGAAGCTCTCAAAAAATCTCGAAGTTGAAGCCGTAATACAGAAGATCGCCTACGTTTTGGTAGGAAAGGGAATAAATACAGTAGAAGGGTTGCCGTGGTCCCAGCCTTGAATTCCTGAGACCGAAGGGAAGCACTGCAAATTCATTCGCTTCCTGTCGATAAACAGAGAGTTTGACTGGGATACAGACGTCATGGACTCAGGCAATTCCCTGCATTACGGCTCTCAAATTTTGAGATCTCCTTTTGCGCTTGGAAGTTATTTTCAGAGAAAATCAGTGCCTTCATTGTGTCTCCCGTAGAATGAACGCAAGCCAAAGTATTTAAATAGCAAACACTCGTGGCGTGCAAAATTATTTTACATAAGCACCAATTTATCGAATGCCTATCGTTTTTTTGGCGCAGATCTGTATTTTCATAGGCATTTTTTAAAGAAACACGTGAGATGTTAATTTTTTTTTTTATTTCTGTTTCTGTTGTTTATGTTGATTTTGAGAAAGTTGAAAAGAACTGTACAATATTCCATTCGTTCAAAACTGAAAAAAGATACCGATTTAATTCCTGTAATATCGAGTAGAACTTAATCCCTCTGTGTAGAATCACTGTACATTATGAAACGGAACATTAATAAATAATGTTTTGGCATAACGGTCTATTAATGTTTTTCAATGTATTTCAGTTTTACCTGATGAAGGACTATATTCTACAGATTAAAATCTTTTTTTATATGTATTTAAATTTCCCCTCCCTCTCTTCTTCAGACCGACAAATCCACAAAAATGTATGATAGACGACTTACTTACTTGAACTCATGTCCCTATCACAAATTTGCTTCTTGTTGAATGAGTATTTGAGGTTGATATTTTTTTCTTCATGCCGATCATGTCATGTTTTAAAGGCATACTTTCAGCAACTCCGCGGGGAGTGAGGGGGAAGGGGGGCTAGTTAGGTTTTTTAACCCGTCGATGTATATCAAATTTTTAGAAAGTATTTGAGTAAAATTAACGATAGATTCTGTTAAATCTAAAACCTAAGATCAAAAGATCGTTAAAAAAGTACAGCCGTTATTCGTGCCTTTTTTTCTTGCGACAAGAAGTTGAGAGATAATAATTGTCTTCAGAGTTGAAAAATGTAAGTCCCTAAAGCAATTATTCTAATATAACAGCATTACTGCATGTTCGAAGACGTAGTTGGTTACATATTGTGTGTATATCATGTTGCATATTACGTTTAGTTACATTAATAATGATAAATATATTAAGATTTTATTTCTTGAAAATCTCATTGTAATATCTTTGGTGACGTTAGTTTTTAGATTTAATGACGTGTACCATAAGTTTTCATCAATATTCTTAAAAACATACATATATGTAAAGAAAAAAAGAAAATAAAAAAATCTCACCCCCCTTTAAGAGTTAAATACACATAATGATAGAAAATACACAGGATCAACTTAAAATTTTTCAGGTAGATCAAAATATGGCAACAATCAACGAGGCAAAATAGGAGCTGAAATTATTAATTTTCAATGAGCTTTAAAAGGATGGAGTGAGCACTCCTGGAAAAAAATTACGCAAGAAAAAAAATCCTCCTGAATATTCCAAAGAATACGCTCCTTCATTTTGCGTCATGAAAGTCGAGTCCCTTAAGTACTGAATAAGTTATCTATTGCGTGAACACTCAAGTGGATTTTATGACCTCAAAAGAAAAGAAAAAAAATTACAGGTAAAAATTTATTAGGTACATTTTTATTTCAATTCAACAATTAACGGTAAGCATCATACATATTTACAATTATCTTATGTGAACTCTTTTGTTGAACACAGTTGGTATATTCAGTGTTTTTTTAACAAATTATTTGAACGAAGGTTCGAAACATTTTTTGGTAACTTCCGATATGAGTATTTGAAAGATGAAAATATTGGACAGTCTTTTACAGCCTTTTTCATCGCATACAAAATTACCTATTATGACTAGCTTAAAATAAATTTGCACTAAGATTGTTTCAATTCAACATCACCCCTGGTAGTCTTGAGATTTGATAACATGTTTCTGTTACTAAACGACAAAATTCAAAGGCCTGGGAAAGCATGTAAATATCAATTAACATGTGAGCAGCAATAGATTAAGACTATTTTTTAAAATGCTCGTAAGTGCCAACTGATATTGAACAGTGGCGTGGCGTGCTTCGCGATATATAGATTGATCTACCATTTAAACCTAGGAAAAAGTATCGATTACCATGAATTTTCGCAGCGAACAACCTAATAATCGATTCTTCACCATAGCTTCAAATGGGAAAATATCGATAATCGACCATTCATGCCTCGCCACTGATATTGAAGATTTGAACCAATACATTATGACGGACACGGAACCCTCATGCTCTAAAAATTGATGCGTGCTGATTTTAAAAATTAACGGCCTATTTTCATATAATTTTACATAACTTGAGATCAGAGGGTTTTCTTTAAAATCATGTTTTGATAGTCAAGCGCATTGCCTTTTAGTTTATATGGAAAAACTTATACCTTTCATTTAGCTCATTTTGGGACATTATATTTGAGCTCATCAAGAACTTTTGATGTTTTACAGGCCGAGGTAATTTAATTTGAAAAAACACATTAACCAATTATCACTGTTGACTTTGCATTAAAAAAGTTGGAACCCGTACGTGTATAGAGGAACAAAGAGAGGAAGTGATTTTACATTTTACAGTCTAACAAAAGGATGAAGAACCATTTTATGATTTTAGGAAAGGCGTCTTCACTTTAAAGTATTCTGATCAGCTTCAAATTGGTTCCTTTGTTTTAGCGTAAAATTTATTTTGCCTACTTAAAGTAATTTTTGATTTTTGATGATTTCGTGTTTTCAATTCGAATGAAGTTTTTATTTTTAAATTTCAAAGAATGTAACCCCATCATCGATGAAAATTAAATAAATATTATAATAATTTTTCATGAATTAAAAATATGAAACTTCGTATGAATTCTGGTGAGAAAGCTTTCACCCGAAAATTTTTCCTCATGGCGAAAAAAAATAATTATTCGAATCAAAATAATTTTCTTCCGATCAAAGACCATTTTTACATTTATTTACTCTTTTTTTTTTCTTTTTCAAGTTTTAATCATTTTTTCGGCGATGTTCTGGAGACAAGGCAGTGGCGAGGCATGATTGATCGATTCTCGATATTTTCCCATTTGAAGTTGTGGTAAAGAATCGATTGTTGAGGTGTTCGTTGCGAACACCCTGTTTATCGATCCTTTTCCGTAGGTTTAAATGGACTGCATTTTGCAATTTGGAGCTATGAATGCTGGCTCATCTGAAAAAACACTTATGTGCATACGGAAACTAATGGCACATACGTTGTTTTTAAACCGGGCGAGAATTTATAGTTCCAAATTGCAAAATGTAGTCCAAATGGCGGATCAATCGATATATCGTGAAACACGCCACGCCACTGGACAAGGACCTGAGTATTGTCGCACCAGAACCAAAACAATCGTTACTAAAAAATTATAATTTGTTCTGAGACTAGAAAAGGTTGGACCTGAAATCCAACAGAAAATAATTCTAAAAACTACGATTATTTTTCCATCATTATACACCCTAGTGGCAAGTGGCTGTCAAGTAAAATTCACCCTCTGGAAAATAGGCGCAAAAATCTTCAAAAACGATTAAAAAAGAAATTACTATCTTCCAAAATATGACTCCTCATTGCACATTTTAAGTGCTAACAGAGTGAAGTAGATTTTCTTAGAATTTTTTAAAGCCCCCCCCCCCCTAATTTTGTGCCAATTAAATTTCACTCAAAAATATTTCCTTATTTAGCTTTTTCTGACATTTCTCTTTATTTTTTAACACAAAGAAAATAATTTTTTTTTTTTTTTTTTTTTTTAAATTTTTCATACAGTCATTGCTTATTCCAGGGCATATTAGCGAGGACCTACGAAAAAGCAAAATCTCTACCGAACTAGACATTCACATTCCAAAAAAAGAAAAAAAGAAAAAAAAATACTCGCATTGCCGGGATAAAGTTTTCAAATTTGAATAGATTGTATTCGATAGGGGCTCGATGTATCGTCTGGTTCAAAACAATAGAACATATCCTCAAACAAAAATTTTATGATTTAAATAGGAAAACCTAAAAACGAGAAAATTCCTGGCAATTTTACATTCCATTATATTAAGGTGATTCGATGGACGCTATATTTTGTGTCAACACGACATGCGATGTATCGCATCGATTGGTTCCATTTTTCAGCTACTCGTCATATTTCTCAAATTTTGAGATCGAAATTCTGTTATCAGGAGACTGAAGAATTCACATTATCAATTTTGACAAACAAATTCAGCGTAATAAAGGCGTGGTTCTTTTAGAGGGAAAATATCGCATTCGATACTGATATCGAAACTGCACTCGAATGCGATATTTTTCCTCTAAAAAACCACGCCTTTACTACGTTGAATTCGTCCGTCAAAATTGGTGTATGAATTCTGCAGTCCCCTGACAACAGGAGTGCGATCTGAAAATTTGAACAAAATGACAAGTAGCTGTAATTATGGAACGAATTGATGCGATATATCGCACGTCGCTATGACACAAAAAATGGCTTCCGTCGAATCACCTTAAATACTCATAAGAATAAAAAAAAACTTTCTCTATAAGCCCGTTCCCTCAGATCACTCAATTGACTTCTGAGGCTACGGTCATATGTCGAACCAATCGATATCGATACAATCTCACCTGCTTGATGTATCGAATACGATCCATTAAACGGGTACGAAACATCCTCCTATACAGATTTTCAAAGGAACGCGTCGTACTTGCCGGAAATGAACCAAGTAAAAACCGTGAGATCGACCATTCTTGTTGTAGGATCCCTGCGTGATCGTCTTCGGCGACCCTCGTCCCTCGGGTCTGCAACTCCAGGTCCCGAAGCGACAACCAGCCTGCTCACCAGCCGTGTCCTCCGACAGCACTCCAGCCGTTGGAGTCGTAGTTGTGGCCGCTCTCGTAATGCGCCAAATCCCCATATCCATGATCCTGTTCGTGCTCGTGGGTCTTGACCGGGACGTAGACCGGCTTCTCAACCGGGACGGGAACAGCGTAGGGCTCCTTGACCGGCACCTCGACCGGGTACGGCACCGGCTTCTCGACGGGGTACGGCACGTGGACGGGCACCTTGACCGGCACGGGGACGAGCTTCTCGACCGGGTACGGGACGTGCACGTGTTTCTTGATGTAAACCGGGTACGGGACGTGCACGTGCTTCTTGATGTACCTCACCACCGTGAGATGCGGGATCGGCACTTTGACGGGGACCGGGACTTTGATGGGGACCGGGACTTTGACGGGGACCGGGAGGTGTTTCTCCACGGTGTACGGGACCGGCACGTGTTTTTCGACGGGGTAGGGGACCGGCACGTGGACGGGGTACGGGCGGTCGACGGGGATCGGGACTGTTTCCACGTGGGCGGTCTCCTTGTTGACGGTGATGGTTTCGTGCCCGTGTCCGAAGTCAAGGCCCTCGCCGCCGAGGTCCCCGTAGTGGCTGCGCTTCGTCTTGTTGCCGCCCTCGTGCTCGTGCTCGGCGCGGACGACGAGGATACACGCGAAACTGGACACTAAAACACTGAGGACCCTCATTTTCGGACGGTGCGGTGCGGTGTGGCGGACGGAGCGAGCGGAACTAGTGGGGACGCAACCGATCGGGGGTTTATCTATAGAGCGGCGCGGAAGCCCCCCTCCACCGCGGCTCCAAATGCCGCGGCCCCCCTTGCTAGAGCAAATGTCCAGTGAACCAGTCGTGTGGGCCTTTTTTTTACATTGATTAATTGGATTGCATTTTGCAAAAAGGAACCACTAGCATTCTGCCGTGCTAAGGAAGAACGCCGTATGAGCCTTCAGGCGTTGCCAGATTTCCTTCGACAAACCACGCGTTTTCAGGAAAATTTGTGAATGTTTTTTCTCCAATTTTTAAGAGGATTTTGCTCGACATTTTTTCTAAAAAGTCTGAAAATTTCAAGGAGAAAGATGCATAACTTTCTTCAAAAATACATGTTTTATCCCGAGAAATTTGGCAACTCTCGAATGTTCATACGGCGTTCTTCCTTAGCACGGCAGCATTGCAATGTTGCTAAGATTGTGCAACTTCTTTTGTCTTGGAGGAAAAACCCGACTATCTATTAATAGTTTCTATTTTACCAGCTAAAAACTGTGAATTTAAGACCAAAATTACCATCTAAATTTCATGGTTTTTCATGATTCCCGTAATTTCATTGCAAAGGATGAAGTTTCACAATCCTAGCATCATTGTAATGCTAGTGGTTCCTTTTTGCAAAATGCAATCCAATTTAAACTTAGCAAGATAGATTTGCTTAAAAAGCCTACCCTGGAAAACACATTGTATCTAGAGTCCAGACTCTTGAAAACATTGACAGTAAAAAATACTCTTGATTCAATCAGATTTAAGCTTAAATCAAAAGGAAATCCTATCATATTAAGAGGCTGGGTTCTTGATTTATGCTTAAATCTGATTGAGTCAAAAGTATTTTTTCTTGCCGATGTTTTTAAGAGTCTGGACTCTAGATCCAATGTGTTTTTTTTTCCAGTGTAAATTTTCTCAGATCCCGGCCACTACCATGTAGGGCTCAGGTTTTCATAGTTTTTTTAAATTGTTTTTTATTATATTTCCGACTGAAAATGACTCGAAACGTTTCTGTTTTTTTTTTAATTGTGTATTTCAGCCTCGTTCTCAGTCCCCCCTTGTTATTCTACGGTTTGCTTAAAAATGAAAAACAACTTAATCAGCCAAAATACACATCATAAAAGAACAACTTAATTTGGGGAAAAGGCTGCAAAAAAACAACAAAGGATAAACCAAACCCGGGTTTTGTTTATCCTTTCTTGTTTTTTTTTTTTTTGCAGCCTTTTCCCCAAATTAAGTTGTTCTTTTATTTTGCTTAAAAAGCTAATAGTATTCTGTTCTGCTAAGGAAGAACGCCGTATGAACATTAGAGAGTTGCCAAATTTCCTGCCGTGAAACGTTCATTTTTAAGGTAGTTAATGAATAATTTTCCTTGATATTTTCAGAAACTTTGAGTGAAATTGCAAACAAAATAATCCGAAAAATTATAAGAGAAATATGCATAAGTTTACCAGGAAACTTGTGTTTTGCCAAAGGAAATTTGGTGAAGTATCACACGGCGTTTCTCCTTAGCACGGCTTTATTAGTCTGTAGTCTAAAGATCGTTGGATTTCCAACTTTTCTTGTATATTTACGATTAAATGAGTAGTAGTTAATTATCTTTAGTACTTCGGTTTTAAATTAATTTAATTAATATTTTTCCTTGACATTTTCAGGAACTTTAGGTGAAATTGCGAACAAAATGATCCGAAAATTTATCAGAAAAATACCATAAGTTTACCAGGAAATTCGTGTTTTGTCAAAGGAAATTTGTCAAAGCGCGAAGGTTCACACGGCGTTTTTCCTTAGCACGGCAGTATTAGTCTATAGTCTAAGGATTGCTGGATTTCCTCATTTTCTTGGATTTACAATTAAATGAGTGGTAGTTAATTATCTTTGGTACTTCGGTTTTGAATTTTTGATTAGATTAATTATCTTAATTTCTTTACTATCAATTTATTTTTATTTACAAATATTTATTTTTGTCATTAAAATTTTTGGTGGGTGAATGAAAAGACATACTGATAATTTTATCGAAGGAGTATCGAGATATTTGTGTTTGGTGTCTTATTTGGTTCTATTTATATTTTATCAAAATTTTAAGATAAGTTTCTGTTTGCAGGAGGAAATGCACCATCATGGACGTATTTCTGCTGAACGGAACTATAGACGAGTGGGAAAGATGGGGTGTGCTCTAATAAGCTGCATAAGAAACAATGTAAAAGTGGGCGTGATTCCTTTTGAAGAATTGGAAAAATGGGATATTACATTCTACCAAACGGAACTAAGTGCCAACTGTATGCGGCACTCATGAGCCGTGGGCATGTAATAAACGCGTTGTGAACAGGGCTCATGAATTATAGACGCCGGACGTAGATCCCGATACCGAATCTGTCACCGCTGACGTCGCTGGCGCTTTATAATTCCCTTTTATTCCTAAGGTCCTCACCTAACGAGCACGACCCTTCTTTCCCACCGGTCTCTGGTTCCGTTAGGCAGAAATACGTCCGATTGATGGAATAAAAATGGAGAATTTGCACGCAAATTTTTTGACGCTTCATCTGAGAACGCTTGAAGATCGGATCCAGAGGCGGATCCAGCAATTTGGCAACAGCGGATTTCTTCCATTTAAACCTAGGCTAAATAATCGATTCTTCTAAGAGCACCTGGCCCCTCCAAGAATCGATTCTTTTCCATAGGTTTTAATGGAGAAGAGACAATGTTGCCAATTTGCTGGATCCGCCAATGAGCGGATCCGCAGTATTTTTAATAACTTTATTATAAAATGGGAAACAGTATGTAAATAGATTTGGAACTGAGAAAATGCACCGCCTAGTGACGTCATCTGGCGGCATTTCCAATTGAAACGCATGTATTTTAGCGGAGCAAATCATTTTGTCATATCTCCTCCAATAATTGTTCAATTTATGAACTAAAGGTATTCTCGTGTTCAGTTTACTCAGTAGTTTCCACTTTAACACGAAATGTTTAAAAATTAAACACCTGCAAATTTTCCAACTAGGCAACACAAGATTTCTTTTCGCGATAGAAATTGTACGCAGAACACGTTGAGCATATCGGAAACTTTCAAAATTAAGGGGAGTCGGCAGTGATTTTTTTTTTTTTTTTTTTTTCAAAAAAAATTTCTTTCGGTTTTTTGTTCAAAGCGATTTCTGCATATACGCTTTTAAATCCGAAATTTTTAAAATCTGGTCATTATTAAATACAAGTTACGTGCCGTTTTGTGACGGACGGAGTAATACAACCCTCACGTGAGTTCAAAACTTTAAACAGGGTTTTCTCAAAACCATGTTTTTCGACCTTAAGGTACACTTTTCTAAAGATCTAATGGATGGATTCTCAAAACTTTTTTGTTCTTCTTTACTTTTTTTCCAACTACAGACGAGAGGATATGTTCTTATTGTTCCTCAAAAGGAAGAAAAAGTTGAAGATTTAAAAATTCATGAAAATTTCAATTGATACAATTTTTCAAAATCGTCTCGTCCAAAGCTATAATAAAGTCTAAGAAATCAAACAACATTTTTGTTTTGAAAATCCACCGGGTCGAACCTGCGAACAGTGCTGCCAAGCTGAGGAAAAACGCCGTATGAACCTTCAGCGTTGCCAAGTTTCCCCTGGCAAATCGCTAATTTTTAGGAAGGTTTTTTAATATCTGTCTACCACTTTCTCAGATAATTTTTTTTGTAATTTGATCTAAAACTACTGAAATTTTCTAGGGAAAATATTCATAATTTTACTCAGTAATGAACATTTTATCGAAGGAAATTTGGCAACTCTCGAATGTTCATGCGGCGTTCTTTTTTAACACGGCAGAGTGGACTTTAGCATCAGTATAGTTCAAATGGTGAGGATAGGGACTACCTACTCCCCTTAACTCATGCAGGTTATTTCAAAAGTCTCGCACCACCCCCGTAACCCCTAACATTCTTGTCCGTTTCCAGGGTGGTCCCTTTCAAATTTTTTGGGTCCCCAGAAATGTTTCTCATGACTTAGGAGCACTCAAAAAATTTTTAATTTTCAATAGTCACAGGGGCAATGTCTGGTGCTGGTGAACTAATCGTGCGCTAAACTTATGAATCACCCTGTAAATAGTTGATTCTTGGTGTGAGGCAGCTTGACTCGATATAGATTGTTTCACATACATTTCAATGGAAGCACTCAGTATACCAACTTGCCAGCGGTGGCGTGGCGTGCTTTGCGATATATATGTTGTTCGATCTGCCATAAATATACTGTGGGAAAGGATCGATAAACAGGGTGTTCGCAATGAACACCTTAATAATTGATTCTTAACCATAGCTTCAAAAAGAGAAATATCGATAATCGGTCATTTATGCCTCGCGAGAATCACCACTGTATATATCTATTTTGTATTGCCAAGGAGAAACTCCGTTTGTTTTAGTTTCTTCACATATCTTTCCCTGGAGACTTTAACGCAGACGTAGAAAAGTAAACCATATTTCTGCAGCAACGCATTGTTGCATATTCGTTGCGCATTTCGCACGGTGTATTGCTGAGGAGATACTCCGTTTCTCCGTCAGTTTCTTCACATATCTTTCCCTGGAGACTTTAACGCAGACGTAGAAAAGTAAACCATATTTCTGCAGCAACGCATTGTTGCATATTCGTTGAGCATATCGCACGGTGTTAAGCTAAATTTTCAAGAAAGTAAAGATTTCCTCGATTCCAAGGTTTCCTCCGAGACTTCAGCGCTGAGGTGCGGAAAAGTACGTTGTAATTTTTAGGGCAACGTATCGTCTCATCTTAATATTACTTGCGCATATCGCATTGTGTTCCATGAAATATTCAGTGAGGAAACGGAGAATGAAGGAACCTTGATCTCTAAGCAAATGTCAAGCAAATCAGTTATGTGGACATGGGACTTTTGTTTCTCTTTCTTTTTTTCAATGAAAGAAATGAAATAATAGACAGATGTGAACAGTATTTTTTGTACAAAAACAGTAATTTTTTA